TGCACAGTGTGACTGAGCTGTGAAAGGATGTGCATATTGGGATGGACAGTCATGGCTGGACCTCTGCAGGCTTGAGCTCAAGTAGAGGTGGGTGCCTGGCAGGACTCCTCAGCTGCACGCCGAGGGGGCAACGCCTCAGCCCCCTGCCTGGAAGACCCGGCTGGCATGCTGTCGTGGGTTGTTCAGTACTGCTTTCCTAACTGTTGGCTTTGACTCTTACCATAAGGGTGGGTGGGACTATACAAACAGGAGGGGATGTGCCTCCCCCAGGGGATTGGACAGCTTGCCAAGAATGTAAGGAAGATCAATGGCACCTTGCGAAGGGACCATGCAAACTAGGTGTGTAAACCAATAACACACTGATAAACTCTGCCATCCCTGGAGGCTTTCATTTAGCAGAGAGACAGAAAATGGGGGTCTCACCACTTTCAAGAAAGCAGCAGCAGCAGGGTGGGGAGAGGGGGTTATCACCAGGTCGCAGAGTTTGGTGGGTGGAGGGAGAGGGTGAAGGAATTAGGAAACATCCAATGGGGACCTGAAAAGATGGGGTCATCGTGGGCATAGATCAATAGTGATTAATTTTATAAGACAATTTATGAGAATGATCATATGCAGCACAATGTGAATGAAGGAATGTGTGCAACACAATGTATATGAATTTTGTATGTAAACCAATGTTGTTGTTGTTACCTTCAAGTCAAGCACAACTTATAGAGCCTCTATGAACAAAAGGCCTGAAGCCCCTCTACAACTATTCACATTTATCAAAGTTCATCGTTTCCGGAGGCACATTCTTTAGGAAGTGGATGCCACTCCTGCTTTAAACCTGTCACAGTATGTTATTGTTGTTATGTGCCAGTGAGTCGCCTGCAATGCATAGCGACCTGATGTACAGAAGCTCTAAACCATTCCCAGTCCTGAGTCAGTCTCACTAACTCCAACACACCAATCCCATCACCCCAGTTACTATATCAATCCGTCTCATCCACGGTCTCCCTCTCCTGAGCTGTCCGTCCGCCCTTCCAAGCATGATGTCCTTCTACAAGGACCAGTCTCTCCTGGCCATGTGCCCAGAGTGAGGTGGAGTTTCAAAATCCTAGCCTCCAAGGGGAGACTTGGTTTCACTGTTTCCAAGACAGACGTATTTGTTTTCTTGGCAGTCATGGTATGTTCAAGACTCTTCTCCAGCATTACAACTCAAAGGCATCCATTCTTGTTCTTGTTCTTATTCTTATATGTAAACCAATATAAAATTTATAAAAACCCAACCAACCAGCAACAGAGTGCAGTGTGCAGAGTAAAACAAAGCCACGGTGGCGGCGGCAGGAGGGCCAGAGATGGGTGGGCAGGAGACAAGAGCCCCACCGTCCCATAGACCAGCGCCCTGCGCCTGGGCCTCAGATTTTTGATGAGGGGCTGGGGGAGGCAGAGGTTCACACCGAATTGACAGAAAAGAGCTTTATAACACTAGCAGAGGGCAGTGGCCAAAGCTGAAGGTCAGAGAGGCCTTCCTGAGGCCACCCCAAGGAGCAGCTCTCCCAGCCCAAGAACTGCACCCCCGCTGTTTCCAACTTGAATTGCAACCTCTTCACTCATTGCTGTCAAGCTGGAGCCGACTTAGGGCTGACCATCCAGTGGGTTTTCGGAAGCTGTAAATAACAAAGAGAGAGACTGCCCGTAACTGCGGGTGCTGTGATTTCTGGGTGGTCACTGCAATGAATTAGACAACGCAGCAGTAAGAAGCAGGAGCAACGGGAGGAGAGTTAGAATTGACAGGGGGTGGACGGGAGCGAGGGGCAGCTCTGGCCTCACAGGAGCCGCAGGGGTGGTGTTGGCAGGCCTTCCCCTGGGGATCCGTGGTCAGACGCCGCTGCCCCTCACCGGCCACATGATTTCACAATGTTTGCACGTGATGAGTGTAATTCTGTACACATGAAAACTGTACACATGAAAATGACAGAGGTGACACATATATCTGTCACAATATACATTTTTTTTTCTATAAAAGGAAGAAAAAAATGTTAGCTTTGAGAAACAGAATTCAGGCTGATCGTAAAAAGAACAGGTCTAAGGTGAAAGTTGACCCAAAGGATACAGAAACTATTAACTGCCATGACAAATCACAAAGCTCTGGAATGTAGACACAAACAGGACTGGATGGAGTTAAAAAAGAAGTGATAAGACTTAGGCGGCACCCAGGAAGCTTGTTCACCCCGTAGTCAGGGAGGGACTCGCAAGCTAGGAGATAAAAACTAGTGAAATGAACGCTGGCCAGTTCCTTTGTCTGGGCTTGGGCACCCAATTTTGCAAATTCACTTAATAAAGCCTTGTTGTTGTTGTTGTTGTTGTTGTTTGTTGATTGCCTTCAAGTCAAGCACAACTCATAACGACCCTATGAACAAAAGGCCTGAAGGCCCTCTACAACTATCGACATTCATCAAAGTTTATAGGGTTTCCGGAGGCATGTTCTTTAGGAAGCGGATGCCACTCCTCTCACTAAATGGAGATTGGACTTCTCAAATGTTTTCCGAGTGGCCCTGACCCCAGCTCTCCTCCTCTCTGGAGAGCCACTGGGAATGGTCCTGGGCAGGGCGTCATACACATCGGCCAGTTGCTGAGAGGCACTGAGATAGTGCCCTGGGTATCAGCAGTGTTTCTCACATGGCAAAGAATACTGACAATCCCATAGATGGCCAAAAGAACAAACAAATTTATGTGTTGGAGGAAGTACCATCGGACGGCTCCGTGGAGACAAGGATGGTAGAACTCTGTCTCACATACTTCGGGCATGTGGTCAAGAGGAGCTGGGCCCTGAAAAAAGCCACCAGGCTGGGGAAGGTCAGGAGGGTCAGAGAAAAAGAGGAAGACTCCTCTGGTAGAGTCACACGATGGAAAACTAAGCTGCATTGAAAAACAAGGAACTCATTAAGTTTTAAACAAAATGGGTGACCCTGGAGGACATTATGCTGAGTGAAATATCTCAGTCACAAAAGGACAAAATTGCATAAGGCCACTGTTGTAAAACGGGACTGACGGGAGACTGTGAAAGAAGAGATAAATAATGTATATTGCATTGAAACAGATGAGAGAACTATTTAAAAGGGATATGTGATTAGGTATTATTGTCATGACAGGAGTCCAGAATGAAGGCCGCATAGTGGAGTGGACTTGGGGGGAGGGATTGTGTAACAATGAAATTATTTTTTTTACTTTTTAAAGAGAACAACAAACTGGAGGGGAGGGGTAGGCAGGGTGAAAAGTGCAACAATGAATCAATGAATGGAAATAAATTTTAAAAAGACTAGGTTTAGAGAAAACATAACTCACAGATTGTGAGAAAGCATTTGTAAAACACTTTTCCTTCCTTCTCATCTCTGTTAATGATCCATGATAGATTCTGTGTGTAAACCATTTCTTAGCTTTTCATTATAGTGCTCTTAGAATTAAAATTTTGTGACCGATTTATGTCACTCAGCAAAAATAAAATAGTATTTTTTTTTCTCTTTTACTTTTCAAAGAGAGCAAATTGAGGGGGAGGAGTGGGCAGGGAGAAAGTGCAACAATGAATGAATGGGGGGGGGCGGGGAGGAAGACTCAGTCAGATGGACCCCGACACAGTGACTCCAAGAACGGGCTGGTGCAGATCAGAGATGGTGACGCTGGCATGGAAGAAGGCGAGGCTCTGAGCAGCTTGACACACAGAGTGTGACACGATTGGACAGCACAGCACAGGTGCTCACCTAGCAGCCCTCCTCTACACCGTTGTCCTGATCTCCCTGGCCGGCGGGTGGGGCCAGCGAGCAGGACAGCCCCTTTCAGGTTTTGCTAGTAGCACTCGCTGGGGCCCCCAGCAACACTCCAGCTGAATTCTGGGTTTGAATCATGACCCTACTTTGGTCATCTGTCCAGCTGCTTCATTGTCCTGGGAACATGTGTGGGTCTGGATCAAGAGGAGGGCAGTTAATTTGGACTAGAAAGCCTTTCTTTTTCATTATGACTTTAAATTTTATTATTGTGATGGAGGTGAAAGCTCACACAGCAACCTGTTCTCCCTTCCACAGTCACACGTTTTGATTCCTGACCCTGGTTGCAGTCCCCACCAAGGGCTCTTCCCACTTCGCCTCCCCTTTCCCTAGCTCCTCCTGCCGAGCTTTCTCCCCAATAAACCGCTGCCCTTTTGAAATGAAATGGTTGGCTGCTGGGAGGTGCGAGGACCTCCCTGGAGCCCCTGCTTACTTCCAGCACAGTCTACTTACTGTCCGGCTGACACTGGAGCCAGCGGGGGAAACGTGCCTGCAGGCGGGTGTGGAAGGGCCCTCGTGTTCCCCACCAGAACAAGCCTGGCCCCTTTCGTGATTCTGAGTGGTTTCGTATTTTTCTCCCCACTCTCTAGGACCCACCAGCGTGGTCCTTACAGGGCGGTCAGCGGTGGTAGCTGGCCACCGCCTCGCTCTTCTGATCTCAGAGTTCTGAAGGTTGAGGTCTGGGCGGTCTCTTGGTGCTCTGGACAAATTGTTTCTTCCCTTTCCTTCCCTCGTCTTTGCTCCAGATGGAAGAAAACGGTATTTGTCTTTCAGACTCTCAATCCTTACAGCGTTGAACCGCCCCATCTGTCTCGGGCAGAGCAGCTTCGCACCACTGACCAGCTGGGTGGCCAGGTGAGCTCTCTCGCGGCCCCACCCGGGCTCCTGCACACACTCAGCACTTGTGAGAGTGACCAACTGTGGCAGCTGGACCAGAGTCTGAGTAGCCCACTGGCTGAGTGCCAGCACCACCTCTGCCAGGCTGACCCCTGGGGGGCCACGCTGTTTCCTCTGTGCCTGCCACACCCAGAGCCCAGCGCCGGGCGGACTAGAACAGAAAGGAGCACTCCTCCAAGAAAGGACACGTCAGAGAGGTTTAATGTCCACGGTGGCACAGCGCTGAAGGGCAGTTCCGAGCAGATGCGCCCGAGGCCGCTCTATTGTACACACGCGCCTTCAGAGGCGAGCGTGGCTGTCTCATCGGCTCGTCGTGTTAAACTGTGCGAAGTACTCTTCCGTGGGCTCGTTTGTATACACTTCTTTCATATACTTTTTCCTGATAGTGAAACAAAGGGAGAGGGGGAAACTAGTAAATGGTGTGTGCATTCCAACTATTCTTTTCTTCTCAGGACTGTCCTCTGGCAGCCTCGAGTGGCTTCTGACTCAGCGACCCCCCATGACAGAGAACTGCCCACAAGTTTTCAAGCCCACCACCTTTGCAGGAGCAGATCCAGGGTCCTGTGGTCAGTCTGAAAGGCCAGCTTCTCAGTTTGCAGCCAAATAAGGATTCTTCCCACCGCAAGGGAGCCCCAAGTGGCCCTAGGATGAACCTCCCCACTGCCGTCAAGTGGATTCCGACCACAGCCTCCCTCCGCCCGGCTCTTCCAAGGCTGACAGGCTTTCTGGGAGGAGCCTGCCTCTGCTTTCTCTCATGAGGGGGTGGTCTGGTGGGTTTGAACTGTCCACCTTCTGGTTAACAGCCCAGCATATAACCCCTGTAGCACTGGGGCTCCTTAGATTAAAAGCATTTCAACTCTAGTCGGCTCACAGCGAGTAACTGCTCAGTGAGTGAGGGGTAATTCTACAATCACAGTTCTCAGGCTGGAGTCTGGCAGGGTGAGCAGAAGGTGGGCACTCCAAGGGCCTGGCGTCCCAGGCACTGTGTCTGTTCTCTCCAATGCCCATCAGGCCAACTCTAATTGTTCCTTTGGGGCTTCCAATAGAAATGACCCAACTACATGCCAAATTGAAATGGAGAAACTGTGGTCTCTTCTGAGTTCAAGCCTGGAATTTAATAAATGAGTAAAGATCCCATTGCTAAGAGGTCAATGGCAACTCATAAGGACCCCAGCAAACAAGCAGGCCTAGGAGACCCTGCAGGTTCAGTTCCTGAACACGAAATAAAGCTAACAGAGAGAAATGAGTCAATGATTTTCTGTTTCCCAGCACCTGGAAAAGTTATGCTGACACTGTGCATTGGCTCAGCCTATCAAGTGGACAATAAAGAGCACCTGAAAAAAATGTTAAATGGTGTGAGAAATTGTCCCAAACAGGACACAGATGTGAAATGAGTGCATGCTATTGGAAAATGGCCCCGAAGACTTGTTCAATGCCAGTTTCACAAGCCCTCTGTCTGTGACACAGCAGGACCTGGGAGGCACAGTGAGGCCACCACGCAAACTTGTGCCCCCCAGCTGTGCCCACCAGACTGTCTACAGACTTCAGTTCACAGTCACCTGCTTGAGACACTGGGGCTGGGGACCTGTGATGAGCAGGCAACCCTGGACTATCTTGACAGCCTCCCTGCAGGGGCACCTGCTGGCACTGACCCCTCCCGCGCACACACTGCAGCCTCCTCTGGGAAGCCCTCCAGGCCAGCTCAGTGCTCCGCCTCTGGAGCTCCTGAGTCCCCAGCGTGCCACTCAGTCCCCAGCGTGCCCCTCAGTCCCCAGCGTGCCCCTCAGTCCCCAGCGTGCCCCTCAGTCC